GTCGCCACGTAAACACGCGTCGGGTGCGCCTACATATGAAAACGACGAACGCGCTACACATGTTGGGTATCGCCGCGCACGCCGGAGTGAGAGCAATAATTCTAGAGCCAGTATTTTGGGGTATCTCTAAATTGATGACCTGTGGGGGCTTTTAAAGCGTCTTCTATGGACTTTTTGGGGTACTGGGGTTTTTCGCCGTTTTACGGATGCACGCAATTTGTAACCTGAGCATGTTGGGTATCGTTTTACTCGTTGTAACCTCATCTTTTATATTACATTAAAAAAATTGGGTATTTTGTTGTGTTTTGGGGCATTTAATTACATTTTTCACTAGATATTGGGGTTTAATAAGGAGTTGCGCTAATATTGCGCAACATAAAAATTTGCAACTACCACCATTTTATTCTATAGGGTCTTGGCATTCAGAAAATATATCATGTTGGGGGGTTTTAAGTAATTTTCAGGCCTGAAATGTGGAATATAACATGGGTACAAAAAAATGAAAAAAGGCCTCAGTCATGAAGGGGTTAAATAACATATTCCTAGGATTATTGTTGATACATTGTAGCCCCAATATCCCCAATGCGGGGATATTCTAATTGATGGCAGGACAAGGTATTCGTGTGTATCCAAACCATCGAATATTCTTTCCTTGTATCCTTGGTAGAGTGAATGATATTTCAGATTACGGGACCTCCAGTATCTGCCTTTGGGGTATATATCTATACCCCAAAGGCCAACCTGATACCCCAGATCTAACCAACCTGTGCTTAAATTACCATTCACCTTGAGTAGAGGCCACTGATATTCAAGACGGATGAACGGTAGGGTCTCGATTTTTAAAGATGCATAACTAACTTGGGTCAATAACCACCACCCTAAATGAAATTGACTCATAGTCAGTGATCATTTATGTTTTTTATTTTATGTTTGTTATTTGGTGGTGGTTGGTGATACACTAAATTAAAGTTTTCTATTTGATATTTTCAAAATTGGTCTGTCCCGATCATTGGTTAACCCTTCGACTATCTCCCCTTTTGAAGATAGTCCTTTTTGTTTTTTGTATTATCCAACAACCACTTTAGGCAAACCAACATTGGTTTCGATATTAGAATTTCTACAAGACGGGGTAGAAAACATTTATCTTGTGGGTGATGTTTCCTATTTCTGGAGGGAGGAGCCTATCTCTCTGATGCTGTCCTGGAAGATTCCTAGAAACAGTTACCAGGTACCCAACTCTAATTTTCTTGTGGATTGGTGCCTTTTATGTAGGGTTTCAGAACACACATGTATCACATAGTTCAGTTAGCTTTAGTGGTTTTGTGTTCAGAATTAAGTAGTAAACCAACACAGTTTTTCTTATAAATAAAATATGCAGACTAACAACTGTTTTCAATTTATAGGTTGTTGGCGCCAAGGTGGTAACTAATGCTCGTAGCCCTGGAGCTCGCTGCTATGGATTTGTAACCATGTCCTCTTCAGAGGACGCAACAAAATGTATTAATCATTTACACAGAACGGAGCTTCATGGAAGGATGATTTCAGTGGAAAAAGCAAGTATTATTTTATGTGACATATTTTTTATTTTTTCCTAATCACTTAAAAATGTTGCCTTCTCTTCAGTCTTGCACAGTAGCACATGCTACTCTCCTATACTGTAATTGCTTACTTTTTTCACTGCATATTGTGAACTTCTCACAGTATGTATCGGAAGCTGCTGCAAGTCAGAGCCTGCCTCATTTCTGGACATGTGGGGACATCCAGCATCTTCTAGGTTCTTCCACCACAGCCTGACTTTCCTTGGCCTGCCTCTTTCATTCATTGGATTTTAATCATGGAGGCTCTACATTTATGGGCACTGTATAGGGTGGTCTGCATGCAAATAGTCTGCCTAGGAATGGCCACTCTTCCAGACTCATACTTGCATATCAAGGCATTGTAATACTATTTGCATAACTCTTCACAAGAACCAGCCTGCTGGTTGAGTCAGGTTTGTGTTCTTTATGCGTACTAAGGCATGGTGCTGAGGTAGTTTCGGGAATCTACCCTGCAGGCCCCTCCCATCTTCCATGATCTGCCTTTATTGCATAGAGAAGCACCGAGACCCAGTGATGTCATAGGGTCTAAAATAAAGTATATAATTAAAAAGAAAATGTTAAAAAAAATGGCTTGCTGGGCAGAAAAGGAACTAGTCTTGTTTTCCAGTTTGTTTTAGAACTCCTCTGTGCTATTAGCATTTCTGCTAAGTGACCGGGGTGATTGGCACGTACTTGGTCTTAAAATATGGAAACTCTTCTGCAAGAAATATATGCTGTCCTCCCTAACCTCTTCTCTTTCAAATGCTGACCGTTGTGCTTATTCATTGATCAAACAATAGACCAATTGCAGCACTCCACCAAAACAGAGATTTCATATAAAAATTAGTAAACCAGTTAATGAGCAAGTAAATGCTTCAAGCGTTGTCACTTTGTGATCTTGCATGTTCAAAGATTTCATTTTCTTCAGTCAAATTCTTTCACATGCAAGTAAATATCTGTTTCTATACAATTTTAGTTCATCATTCAAAACGACCATATGATTTACCCACAATACACTTTCTATGAATACACTGGTGCGATTTTAAAAAAATGCTTGCCAATCACAATCTTCTGTTTATAGCTGAGCTCCTGACCAAGATGTAGTGTCTCTTATGTTTCAAATGTCCATAGTGATGCTACGACTAGGGCAAGCATTCGAGACACAGCATGCCTCCTACTAAATGCTTAGACGTAACGCATAACATTAATGAATGTGTAATACTGTAAGGTTGCAATACAGGGAGTACTTCTAAGTATACAGTTAGTAATTTAAACATGGATCAGAATAGTGTTAACCTGTTTGTGACAAGGTATGCTTCAATGATCATATTGTAAGTTTTGCCAACATTTATATAGAATCACTGTTGCTGGTTAAAGCAGAAGAACACTCAGTAGGACGACAAAAATTAAGGGGGAAGATGGAGTCAGCATAATTTTATATCCATAAAATGTACAGCAAGAAATCTAAATCTTTTAGTGGGGTTGGAATTGCCCATCAATCCAAATGTTACACTAGCAATTATAAACACGTGGCCTATAGGAGGAACTAGAGAAAAGAGACTTAAAAGGTTCCAATTGAAAGAAGGACCCCTAAAGCAGTGATGCTGGCTTTCATTGCCCTTGTTTGCATGGTTTTCAGCAGATTGTACTGCCTTTCCTGCTGTGACATGACAGCTTGTGAAGGATGATGACCTTGTGACAGACAAAATGGTCATTTTCTCTTAGCATGCCTGGAAGAAAGCTGCTGTTGTCTACTGCTGTTCTAGAACTTGTCATAATTGGGAACATTTATGCATAGGGTGGGTAGCAATGACGGATCCATATTAAAAGCAGTTACTTTTTAACCCTTTCAATTCCCCATCAAAAGAGGTTAACATTAAAATGCAGCATTTATAATTTGATATCTGCAGTAAAAGCTGTAATGTAATATCAGAACTAATTAAGTAGATGGTTTCTCTGTTAATTTGTGTTGCTTTACTATGTAGGCAAAAAATGAGCCTGCTGGTAAGAAACCTTCAGAAAAGAAAGAAAGTGAGCCAAAAAGAGAGAAATCGTCCAGCAGTGACCAACGGCATTCAACAGACAAGCATGAAAAGTAAGGATGTTTATTGTTCTTTACTGTGATTGAGGGACAGGACATGACCTCTGGAGTATGTGTTGCTTAAAGTAGGATAGAACTGAGGAACTTTGCTGCTTTGTATACTTCCTGCACCAAGCACTATTGTATGCTGGGAGCAGGAGGGGTTCTCGTGGGCTGGGCCAAAAAATGTTTTCCAGTGTCCATTCCTCCAGTAGATGGCAGTGTAACCCAACAGTTTCTCTGTTACCATGCCTCTCAATGGAGCACTATTTTACTGTATTTTTTGAAAAGGTGGCAGCCCACCTATTTTTCTCATGATGGATTGTCTTTCCACTGAAGAACTTTAGGAAGCAGTGTTTCACTTAACTGTTTCTACAACAAAACACACTTCAGTTTCAAAGAAACACCTGTCTTTGTGAAAGCTCTTACTTTTTTGGGGAGATTCACATGGCTCTAACAGTCGCTAAAGGCAGCATTTAAAAAACAAAAAAAAAGAACTTGGTACGACCAGCCTACATACCCTGGTTCTTTGCTTTTCCCATTTTTGCATGTTGGAGGTACTTTGCTTTATAAAGCATGTCTGACTAGTTAGACATCTAGGGTAGCCAGGGACCACTGAGGATATTTCCTTATTTTACTACTGTGGCCATGCAGTGTTGCAGCAGAGTATTTTTATGCATTTTCTACTACATCATTTACTTGGATTACTTAACCTATGTGCGAAAGGGCTGTCCTCGGATGAGGTGGTCAAACCCTAAAGGACAACTGCACACCTAATATACACTCGACCTGGAATATATGACCTGATGCTCCATCTTAGGCACTAATAAAATTCAAATGTATACCTGTAGGGCTTGTTTACACTGTCTGGACCAAAACAATATTTAACCGCACCTGAAATGCATCCGTATGTATTCCTATGGTATTTCTGGGCTCTGTTCACACCAGTGCAGTCCGTTCTGTTGCGGTGGGAAAAATGCTGCATTTCTCTGGTCTGGAACACACCAAAATGCATGCAAACACATCAGAAACACATGCAAACACACTGGACTGAACCTGAAGGCCCATTTTAAGCTAGAAAAAAAAACCCTCACCAGAAAACACTGCATTTGCAGATTTGGTTCAGACATTGTGTGAACTAGCTCTTACAACAGAACTTGTCATGAGGTGCTTGAGGAGGTGCATATATGATGATCTGGGTGTCATGGACTCATTAAAGGAAGACTAAATAAAATTTAACACGCCTGATTAGTTATCCCTCTCCCCCAGACCACCCCCATTTAAGGCAGAAATTACGTTTATTCTGATTTTTTTACTTTTTTGGGGGAATATTTACATAGGGCTCGAATGTGGTTCGAATAAGACTTTCTATGTTCCATAGCTGCTATAAAAGTTATACATTATCAATTATAGTTACCAGATCTCAGCTCTTGTATTGTAATATTTAGAACATGTTCTTGAAAATGTAATTACACTTTGGATGAATCTGCCATTCTTCAGCACTTAACCTGTGTTTCAAGACATCATCATACTTTTTTAGTCACAGCTGCATTTTGTGATTGCTTTTTTATTTTGGCAGGTCTTCACCAAGCTTAAAAGATGAAGCATCTGATAAAGGTGATGATAAAACAGCTAAGGAAAAAGCCAAGGAAGACCACAGAAGTGATCGATCTAGAACCAGCAAGTCGGGTATATTAAATTTACATTTTAAATACAATACCTTGTAAAATTGCATTGTTTGAATGGTAAAGCAAACCTATACTTTGCTTTGTTAAAACGGATAACACACATATACAATGATACAATTATCCAATAAAGAGATTGTCCTTTAGTGACACAAAACTCAAAACTTTTATCCATTTAAAACTGCTCTCCTCAACGTTTATAAAATAAAATTAAAATTCTTTATTTTGAAGTTTGCAATGGTACAATCAACTGAAAAGGACAAGTACAGTCAACATACATACAGAGTCAAGGCATTGTTGGCAATATAAGGACAACCTGAGATAGGGCAACTAAAGCCCTGAATAATTACAAATAGGGGTCACAAACGCCTTAACTGTGCAGCCAGTCAATTATGAGCATCTTACACACTATAACAGAGTTGTAGGTAATGTAAGGTATCAGGCACCGTCTGTAAGAGCAAGACCCGTATTTTGAAAACAGCTAGGCTCTATTAGGACATACCTAGAGACATAAAGAGAAATAGGAAAAGATCTCCTGGAAAGGAATATTGAAATGATAAGCGAAGGGAGGAAGGTGGTACAGAAGGATGTGATAGGCCCACCAGAGGCCCTTGTAGCTATAGGTTCACCCATCAGGTCCGACTGGGTTGTAGGGTCCAGGCATATGTGTATGGGAGCTAATCAAGCATGTCTCGTCATGCGGATGGGTCCGAGCTGTGGTTGCACGGAAGGAAGTTTCTGGACTTGCTGTGTTGGTCGGGATATCAATAGCACCGCATGGCCCAGCAGAAGTAGGCTTCCCCAGGGAATCCCCAGAGGGGCTGGCTGACATCAAGGCCCCACACTCCTGTGTGTATAGAAATTCAGGCCAGTAGAACCAGGTTTTCCTGAAACTACTATCCGTGTGGTGGAGGGTTGCTGTCAATTTCTCCATCACTCGTATATCGTCAACTTTTTTGAGCCGGAGTCTAAGTGGGTGGGTCTGTACTTTTCCAGCACAAGGGTATATATTCCTTGGCTGCATTAAGGTGTATCAGGAGCGACCTGCGGTACCGGGTCTTGGAGAGCGGGGACAGGTGGAGTAGTACTGCTGTGGGATTGTCATTCAATGATATCCCTGTAAGTCGTTCAACAATTCCGAGGACCGCATCCAAAAACTCTCTGAGGCATGGGCAAGACCAAAAGATATGTAGGATGGAGCCCCTCCCAGTACCACATCTCCAGCAGTTAGGGGAGGATTGAGGAAACATCCTATGGAGTGTAGTGGGGACAAAGTACCACCTTGTGAGGATTTTGTATCCCGTTTCCTGTACCGAACTCGCCAGGGATGCCTTGTGTGCGAAATGCATCCTTCGGTTTCTGAGTGAAAGTAGCTCCCAGGTCTCTCTCCCACTTAGCCAGGAACACAGGCTCGGACAAGTCTGGTGGATGAGTCAAAAGCGCCTGAGCTTTGGACAGGCCGTGATCGACTACCTCTCCAATCAAGTATCATATAGTCCTACGTAGGCCAGAAGTGGGCTACCCGGAATTTGTTGGAGCTCAGGAGACGGGCAAATAATTTTTCTTCCAGACCAGGTACAAAGGTCAGGTCACCGATAACCGGGGCCATCATCGACTGAGTTGTACCTGTAGAAAGTACTCCAGGCGTCTTTCTGAGGACATGGATAGTGTTACCCAGCAGTGGGTGTTGCAGGACTTCCCTGGGGAGGGGCGTCGACGTCCATAGTCGACCTGCCAAATGCCAGGGGGAGGAGGCTTGTTCCAGGTGCAACCATCGTTTATTGGAGGTGACATTACACCACTCAAAGGCTCATGCCATATGTACCGCCTCGTGGTACCGCACTGGGTCTGGGAATCCAATACCCCCCGGGTTTTGGGCACTGTCGGGATCGTCTTATTCAGTCTGTGTGCTCAGTTTTTCCCCTAGAAAGGATGCAAATTCCCGGCGGATTCATTTTAGGAATGATGTCGGCACCCGTATGGGGAGCGCTTGAAGTAGGTAGAGCAAGCTCGGGAGGACATTCATCTTTTAAGACGCTATTCCTCCCGAACCAAGAGAGTGAGCGTCCTGACCATTTGGCTAGGTCTCGTCGGACCGCAACTAAGAACGGAGGGAAATTGATCTGGAACACTTTATTAATAGATGCCGGTATTTTTGTCCCCAGACAGGTAATGGAAGTGGATGACCACCGAAAGGGAAAATTCGACTAAGTCAGACATGAGGGGTATCGGAACTGTGAGATTAAGGGCCTCTGATTTCTGTAGGTTGATTTTAAACTTTGAGACCTCCCCATAGGCTGTCAGCTCTTGCATCAAATTTGGGAGTGAAATATTGGGTTTAGTCAATATGAACAGGAGGTCATCTGCGTGACCTGCAATTTCTGGGGTGCATAAGGAGTTCTTGGAGACATCTAGTTGCGGGTCTAGTGCTACGTTGAAGTCTCCCTCCGTCACTACTGTCCCTTCCACTACCTCACCTAGAGCAAGAAAACACTTCTCCAAGAAGATAATTTGGTCGGAATTGGGAGCGTAGATATTTACTAAGGTGACTAGCGCGCCGAAGAGTCGCCCCTTCACAAACATGTATCTTCCCCATGTCATCACTCACCGTCACTCTCCAAATGTTGCCAACCCGCCGTTCTAGCTATAAAGGATAGCTACCCCCGGGATTTAGTGTCGGGGGTTGCGCTGTGGTACGCAAATGGGAAACGAGCGTCAGAGAGCCTTGGAATGCAATCGGAACGGAAATGGGTTTCCTCCTGTAGGAATGCGACTTGTATTCTTTGTCTCCACAAGTCGCCAAGCACCCGTGACTGCTTCTCAGGAATGTGGAGAACCTTCACGTTCAGCACAGGAAGCGGGTAGGCATGACCCTGTCCACCGCCTGCTCCTGCCGGGCCATATCTGGGACGGGGGGGGGGGGGGGGGGGGGGCGGGGGGGGCGCCGA